AGCTTATCACTAAACTTGCTCACTGATTCACAGTTCACCTTTGTATGCACCTCTTGCAAACGTGTAAAACAAAACCGTGTTTGTCTTGCATCTTGTAACTTATCTGTTGAGGATGTACTACGAAACCTGTTACACTCACCAAGTTTATATGCATTACTAGACATCATGGAGCCTTTTCGATATCCACCTCTCTGAAACCCTTTCGTCATCAATGATTGCGTTTTGCTCTCAGACTGCTTTGTTCTAGGGGTGAGATGCAATAGACTGGCGAACTTGTTCATAGATTCGTTGACACTATTGTTTACCAGTTTCAGAATGTCATCGAACTTTGGCTCGATACCCTCATCCTCCATATTGGAGCTTATCTTCACCCACTTCCTTTGCAGTCGAGTAGGTAGGCGTCTTGCTATTACTTCTAGTATAAAACTCGAGTTGAGGTCACTCACGCAATTCATCGAAATCAATGCATTCTTGTAAATCAGCAAATTATCCAAAAACTCAGAGAGAGCCTTGGAGTCATCTTGTAGTTGACTGCCGTTACCTTTGACAGCTTCGAATACGTTCCTTACAAAAAACCGTCTAAAACTGACACCGTGCCGTCAGAAACTGTCAGCCACGTCTCGTAAACCATCAATACCCAGCTCTTGCTACGCTGGGACTCACGCTGTTCCTTGAAGTTTCTCAGAAACGCTTAGTAATAACGGACGCAAAAATCAAAACACCGACTGGCGACTCGAGAATTCTTTATTGTAACACCAACATATAGCCAACTTTAAAACTAGGCTTTACAACTAAGGTTTCTGACGGTTGTCTCCTGACTTCTTTCTGAACAGCGACCGATGAGACGATGACTGGTGTGTTGATGCCTCCGCGAAAATATAGGGAAGTTGGTTTTGAGCAAACAACCACGAATTGATCGTTCAGTCTTCAGCTACATTGACACTGGAAGTCGCTGAAACATTAAGTTTAGCCTTCACCGAGCAGTTAAACAGCAATATGTGTATTACTGGTACCGACGGAAATGGTGGCACTACCACTTCACCGGAGCAAAACCCTTTGGCTACTCTCTAAATAAACCCTGCAATAGTGCTGAGGAAGCTTCAGTGACTTACACCCATAAATTCCTCAGGTTGTAGAGACATCAGGTGGGGAGTGGGAAAGAGACATCCCTTCTCCGATTTTCAAGGGAGGGGACAGGCAAACAGACGCCAGTTATAGACCAGTAGCATTACTCCTAGTGGTATCAGAAGCACTGGAAAGGATAATTGATATTCACATCATGGAGCACCTCGACTGGACTAATAGACTGCATAAAGCCCAACATGGATTTAGGAAAGACAGATTCTGTGTAACAAACATACTACCACCTTGGAACGGTTGGACATCATGGTGGAATATGAATGTTACCGTCCATATGGTTTTCCTAGATTTTGAGAAGGCATTTGACACAGTTCATTACGGCCTTCTCCTACACCAAATAAGTCAGGCAGGTATAAGTCAGCCGCTTCTGTCATGGTTGACGGACTACCTAGCTGAAGGGAAATTTTTCATCTTGCCACGGCTGGTCGTCAGGAGTGTCTCAGGGTCCTGTCCCAGGGCCGCTGATGTTTTAGATTTTTATCGGTGACCTGTCATGCTGTCTGAGCTGCCTGACTCTTCTCCACCCCAAAACGTAAAGATATGTGGGGCAATAAAGTATTCGGAAGACTCAGATAAGCTGCAGGCATATCTAAATGGACACAAGCGTAAATTACACGGGGGATGTAGTGTGGGCGTATGCGGTCATACATTCTACACATAGGCAATTACGTGCACTCACTCCTGAGCTCTTTCTAAAGTTGTACAAAACATACGTATGACCACACCTTGAAGTGCATAATATCACTGAACCCTCACTACTTATAAGAGGCCCAAACCTCTTGGATGGAGCCAAAAGACGAACGATAAAAGGAATGGTGGGTCTCCAAAATAAACCGTATGGTGAAGATAAAGGTAATAGGCCTGTTCACATTCAGCTACCGTCGGCTTAGGGGGCACTTAATTACTGCTTACGAGATAACAAATGAACAGAATCACATAAACAAAGGCGTTCTGCCAATGAGTAGGTATGGGCTTCCTCATGGAAATCCCAGAAGGATAGCTTACCAGAGGACAAAGACTCGAGTGAGCTCCCACTTCTCCACACTGTGGGTTTGCCATCCCTGATACCCCTTACCGACGGATGTAGCTATGGCACCGTCTGTGAACACCTTTAAATGGAGGCTGGACAATCAAGCAGCGAAACAAGGACTGAGTCCCCTTAAAATCCCATACTCCATTCATGGGTAGACAACCAAATTCGTCGTTTTACGTCTTTGCATTTTCTCCCGTCTTACTCTTCTGACTACTCCAAATATTGCACTTACACTTACTATTAGTGATATTATGTATATATATATATATATCAACTTCAAATTCCATTGGCTATCTGTTTTCACGTTTTCTTCTTCTGTCTTGTAGTCTGAATAGTCTACAATAATTATATCTGTTATTATCATTATTATGGTCTCTTTTCTTATGACGAGGATACCAGAGGACTAACTGGTGGAAGGATAAACTCCATTCACAGTAGTAACAAACTCTCAACACACCGCATACCACAAAAAACATATAATTAATTCAGTACCACTCTTTCTGGAGTCAACTGAAGTTACGACAATCAAGTGGCGGGACGGACTACGCAGAAGTTTATCGAAGACCAGGAACCTTTACCTCAGAATCAAGAAGCGAAGCACGAAGAAATCAGATCGGTTTATACTGGCTCGTAAAATCGACAATGAATATTGGATACCCCAGTTTTTGCGAATGATATGTACTTCGTCCTCAGATGTGTCTTGAATATATCGATTTTCGGCAGAATACTGCCAAATTAAAACCTAGACACTTAGTAAGGACGACCACACCAGTGACCCTGGAAATACCAGTAGCACTGAAATGTGAACTTGACCTCCTAACCACAATCTTTCCTTAATCTAACCCGAATTTGTCTTGAAACTAACCATCACCCTAATCTAACCTTAACGTAATCTCAATCTAGTCCGAAACAAACCTGATACCTCCCTAGTTTCATCAATCTAGCCTTAATCTGCCCGTGGCCTAAGCATGACTTTAATCCTTCCCAAATGTAGCCTAGAACTTAACAGATGCCCTGTTTATTATCATAACACCTCGTCAAGCATATTCATTTTATATCGTGCTATTAACCTGGTTTAACTTACTTGCTGAATGGGCATCCCAAAGTCATTGGTATGTTTACACTTCTACGGTGCCTGGAGTTTGATTTCACCCGGGATACTTCAAAGTCATTGTGCGAAACACCCTGTGAACCAGAACAACTTATTCTCAGCACTGCAAATGGTGTGATAATTTTGTCATATCTAGCCATACACTGATTGTTCTGGTGATACACGTGTAATTACTCATTTTTATATATATCAATAACAGAAATATAAACGGCGTTCTACAACACAGAAAGCTAACATTTCTCATGTAACTGGTTATTTCGATTATTTATAACGTGGATTTCTAATATTCCGCTAAAGTAATACAATTCCAAATCAAACACACAAGTTTGACTAACTGAACTTAGAAACCATGTTATGTATGCAAAGCTTGTAGACTGATTCCGAAACTTATATAGGAATATCAGAAGAGCTCGTTCCCTAAAAATGAAATTAGTACGTGGCATTATTCATTCACAGTGGGTTTAAATGTTTGTGAATTTCATTAACAAAGACAACTGCTTTACTCCACTTACCATAATTTAGCATACTACTTTAGAACGCTCACTTTTATAATAATATACATAGTTTAAACACATTTTCCAATTAAATCTTAGCGAATATCTCGTTGAGAGATTGTTCTGATGTTCTGCCATTAGTCTACCGACACATTGCTTTACTGTGTGTGCCCTGGCTGGTGCGGATGTGGAGTACTAGGTTACTTATCGACATTAGTTGATACTACAAGGACAACTTACACTGAGAGTTTTAGTCTCATAAATGTAAAAAATTCAGGATAAGAATACAATCTTTTGGTATAAGTATCTATAATACATAGAAATGAAATCTTGTCAAGCTTATTCATGGTGTCAGTTGATTCTGTAGCGGTAAATAATTCCCCAAAATTATTGACCACAGAAATCATCACTGAATATTGGATGCTGACGCTCACTGTTTAAGTCGACTTGTTTAGCTGAAGGCTTCCGCTCAAGCATCCACGATATTTAGTACTCCGTCGTGTCATGTTCGTGCACGATCACTAGCCAGATAAGCATTCATCTCGGTCTCCGATTTGGTTCCGAAATATATCTCGTAGTTTGGACAACCAAATAGTGTCTTTTGCTTTGCCTTTGGTCCACGAGGAATGAATGCTATAGAGATTGTTGGTATAAGATCTTGCATTAGTATACTCCGTACAATTCGCGAAAGTCAATACCGTCAGCCTCTAAAATTCATTAACGCCAACAAACTTCTCACCATACTTCTAATGATAGTTATTTGATCGACTGAAACATTTTTGTATATACTTAACACTAGGATGATATACACAGAAGGTTCTTTCAAAGACATACAGTAAGGTCACAGCTGATCACATGTTTAGAAGGGTCAGTTCTAGTACGATCACGAAGAAATGGAAACAGAAAACAATAAGGATAAACGGTTACCTATGTTTGCCTAACGATCATTTGTTATTTGTTTGTGAAGGTCTAAATGGTACCACTTATTATGTATAGAAACCCCTTTAAAAGTATTCCCGACATTTACATGTATGTGTGCGCGTTAACCACATGCCTCTAATTCATCTATTGGTAAAACTGCACAAGGAAATCGATGTGTCACTTTGGTACACAAAATCATTTACACATTTTGATGATTTGAATGATACAAAAGACTTAGAGTATTTTGACTTTCGACTTCAATCATTCAACAATGAAATCTGATAACAGCATTGATAATATTCCCAAAGTTAACAGTCGAACAAATATATTATGAAGTCGAAAAAATAAACGGAAAACTTAGATTTGTCAAAGTCGACATTTGTGTTGGACTTACTCAGTTAAAGTGTATCCATACAGAAGTCTACAGAATACTGAAGGGTAATATACAAGTTACATTTTAGTTATTCGAAGTAAGATATAAGTATATTTTTTGTATTACATGAATAACATAAAAGTGTACAGATATTTTGAAGCTGTTGAAGTCACATCCATTCACTTCTTTACACCTGATGTTATTATTATTATTATTATTATCGGTGTCAGTGATAGCTTTGGTATGCTTACTATTATTCTTTAGCATATGGTGCAGTTATCGCTGTGATACGTTTCCACAAACCTGGATTGTAAGGATTATCATATAAACCTTTTGGTGCATCAGCTTTACGCATCTTTTCTTTTAATTTCTCTCCTGCAGTTAACAATCCTTGTTTTTTCATTGAAAAATGTTCAGGTCGACGCATATCATTGGTGAACACACGACATACTAATTTACATTCAGGACAATCTCCATCATATCCATAAACTGGTCTACTGCCTTTTCTGACCATTTTTCGACAGACTAAAATGTATCCAAAAGAGATTTCATGCAAACAGAAGATTGCAAAGATAAGTAAAATAAATCGAGTATTTGTCATCATCAGTATAGGGAAAGACAGATTGAAAAAATGAGAATAAAAATGAATTATAATATATTTCAGATTGGAGTACACTAATAAATTCGCATTTTTTGTTGTTGATTATATATATGTACTATTGATTTAGAGTGCACATCCTGTTCAAATATAGTAGATTAGATTATTTGTAAGTATAACTATTTTGATGTATCTGAAGTGTATGAATAAAAAAGTAATTAAATTTGGAAAATAATAATAATTTATTTAGTGAACTCTATAATCATTGTCCAGACTTACAGCACATTTACTTACACTTAGACATTTTGACATCGAATGTAACTGTCACTTGACAATAGCTAATATATGATCGGTAGGTGGAAGTGCGTATGATAACAGAACTTCAACTCTAGCAATTACAAGTTTGGAAGATGTGTTTGAAACTCCCGATTCGGTCGAGTGAATAAAGTGAATGTGATGTGAACAAATCGATTTATACAACCAAATAGATTTAAAAAGAAAAAAAGGTAGGCATAAGTTTGAAGAATAATATAAATGACTATAAGTGATGCTTACTGTGTTGTAAAATGTTTTATGTTTAAGTGTTTATTTGGTAGAATCAATAGCCTGACAACACACTGATTAGTCACGAGTGATGGAACAGCCTCTCATTACAAGTAAACAGAAGTTATAGTAAAATGTTTGCTTATAATATACAGTTTTAGCATAAACAGAATGAACGCGCAAAAGACATAAATAATTAACACCTCTGTTAGGTTTTATTTTGACATTGACGACTAAACGGTGGATTAATCCAGGAGATACACGCCTAGTCTTATTCTGCCCAATGAAATCAATAAACAAGAAATTCAAAATAAAAACTTAAAGCCTTTGAGCATGAGAAGGCTCTAGTGGTCTAATAGTTTGATGGATGACACTTTGAGGTCTTGGTTAGTGGTTGCTGAGCATAAATCTTAGTGAAAATACAGCCATTCAATGAACATTTACGTGCATCTAGCTGATGATTGTATGTACGACGAAAGGCGCATTATAAATTCTACTGCTAAATGACATCAACCAAATACCATCACTTTAATCTCAAGGCAACGTTGAAGTGTTCGTACTAAAGGCGGACGTATCAATCATTAACTAGGATCCCGCTTCAGTCAGACCAATCAAAGCTAAATTGAAAGCAACAATTTCAGCAAATAGCCTCAATCAGATATCCATATAGACCTTTTGTTTTATTTCATTTCTCACAGCATTCAACTTTAAAAATCTTAACCAAACAAATGGTATCCAAAAGAACTATACTTTTCACTATCTTATATTGGGGAAATCAAGACAAACTAAGTTAATATTTATAAAAAAAAATACCGGTCATAAAACAGAGCTCATATTTTTCAATGACTATATTGATAAACAAATAGAGGAATTGAAGAGTACTTAGCTGCAAAATGAGTATGCCTCTAGAAAAACCGATAAGTTAAAGCGGGATATAGTGAGTAAGAAACGGCTTTACTTAAGAATGAGGTTCAAAGGCGGTACACCTGCTGACATATATATATGGTAGGTCAATTAGATCTGGCGGAAGATCGTTTCACACCTCAAAATTATGTATCATTCTCTCAAACAGTGGTTAGGACTCTCGCCGACCATGCACATGGTCCGACGTTCGATCCCCTCCCGACGCACACCTGATATCTATGGTCGGCCCTCAAAATTTGGACTACCGATATCTATGCTGAAAATTCCATACTTGTACCAAAAATACGGTGTGGAATCAAGCTGTAATCAAAAATATAAAAAAATAAATAAAGTCGATTTACCACCTACAGCCCAACCAATATTTGTATTCAAGTTTCACTGTTCCCATGGTGCCATTTATATATTCTCTATGTTCAGATAGATTCTTCCTTACACACTCTTGAATATGTACTAGTTTGATTTGAAGAAGGAACCTATAAACTGTGCCAGTTTATCCCATTTGGTAGATGGTTAACATCAGATGGAAACAGAAGAAGCCTTTACGGTCACATATCAGGTGTTTTACAATCAACATTAGCGCACACAATTACCTTTTATCTGAGGTAGAAATAACAGACATCAATAGAAATAGGACCATGCTGTTTACCAAAAAGTGTAAATTCTACACTGATTACTATGAACTTAATCACATCATATCATCATGTCTCATTGTGGCCCTCTATACCTTCACTGTCTTTTCTCTAACATTATTACTCTTATTATATCATACCATTATTATTATTAGCTGCCTTTTGAATATTCGTCCTGTTTGTTTCTTTAGCGCGTCAGTTGTTCAGCGGTAGAATGTTCGCCGACCATGCAAGTGATGTGAGGTTCCATTCCCGGCCGAAGCACTCCTAAACTTTGTTCAGCCGTTAGTAAACCCGGTGAAAAAGGAAGGTTGGTCGTGAGGCTAGCAACCCTACCCTGTAAAAAATAAACACCAGTGCTAATGAGATTTCAGTGCTCTAGTTTGAATCCCTACGTTTCACTCTGAAATCAAAGGAGGGAATATTTAAAAAAAATTTTTCCTGCATTCACATTCTTCTTAATTCCAATGATTATAACTCACTCTTTAGAAGCTCTCTGGTTGGTTATAAATACAAAACACGTCGATTAATCATTGTATCTCAAACCTCTATCACCTATATACTTAACTCATAGTTAAAACTAACCGGCAACCGTTCTATCTGTTAATTCAACTATATTTCACATTCTGCAGCAGATAATTTATCCAGTCTAACGTTAAGCTTTTGGCCATCTTAATGTGTATTCATCAGTTTACTTATTCATGTGGAGCAAAGTGTATCGGCCATAGGTGACGGCAAGTCCACAAACGTATTCTGGAACACTGTCCAGCTTAATTAGCCAGAGGAGAAAAGAAGAATAGCAGCAGCTCTATCCTCGAACACTTTGTTATCTCCGGACATCGAGCAACCCCACATGAATGCTTCACAGTGATACACAGAGTGCCTCAATATCGTACAAAGGGACTTCGGATACGTCATCTGTACACAGTTGAAGCATTAGCTATTCGGCATCTGAAAACGGACCTCTGCATTCAAAAGCGCTACATACATTCCTTCTCCCTACTGCGGTCATTATAATTTTTCTTACTATTATTATTATTTAAATTTATTATCATTATTATTCATATCATCCTTATTTTATTATCATTTTGCTACTATTTATTAATAACACTGCGTTTTCAGACAGATTTTATGAAAATGCTTAATCGTCCTTCCACTTTTTCTTATCTACTCTACACAACTACACTGACTAGTGATTTTCTCACGCATCTTACATCATGCCAACTTCTGACCCCTCTCCTAGTTTTCAGTTAGTCACTCCTTTTAGACTGCAACTTGTAGCACGTAGGACGTTTTCAAGGACAAATTTCAACCACATTTGATTCTATCCACCATCGTATCACTCGTAAAACATAACTAATCCTTACAAACCAAACTATAGAAAGTTAATCTGATGCTCACTAGTGACTTGCTACAGGTTGGAGTTTCCTGAGTTCTAGTGAGAAGTCGTGACCAGTGAGGTCCAATTAGATGTCACGTGTGTGGATGGATGTCCCACCAACGACAGTGGTTGGGGTCGCGCTAAATCACGAATAGGTAGAAGTTAGAATTCATGGATTGGCCATTGAATCGGGTCCCAGTGGCTAAATGGTATACGAGCTTGCCTTGTCACCGGAAGGTTCTGGGTTCGAATCGCAGTGGGTGCGTACTGCCAATGAATCCCAAACTAGGATGAAACAGCAGCTGTCCAGTACTCCCTGGTTTCCAATGGTTTTCTAACTGATATCAATCCGTGATCAACACGTAAAACATGACTAATCCTTACAAACCAAACTATAGAAAGTTTATCCACCATATTAATTTTTCTGATATTAGATAATGAAAACACTTGAAAGCCAGAATCTTTTCTCTAATCAACATCAGAATGAGGTTTTTTAAATTGTTTTGATTAAAAATGTACAATATATTCGTTTTTAAGAAATATATGTATATTTGCTTTCACGATTTTTGCACCAAGAAAGTCAATTCCTGTGATCTGCATATTTTAAGTCTATAAAGCAAACCGTGCTGAATTTTCATTTTGAGCTATAATTTGAAAATAGTAAATTTAAAATATTTTTCTACCACCCAACAAAGTTGAAGTTTTTGTATCGCAGTATTAAAGAGTATTGTGATAGTAGATTTGCTGCATACAACACTATGCACTGACTAATCAAAATATGAAGGAAACATTTTCAATGGAAATCACACATATAACGAAAATAATTTGAAGTTTCGATCACGAATTGCGATTGGTTAGCGAACCATTGAAAACCAGGGAGTACTGGAAAGGTGACTCGTCCTTGTTCGAGACTGTTCGAGAAAGCGTACGCACTCATGACCCACAAGAGACATTACTAGGGATCTTCTGGTTATTGGGTGAGCTCGTATACCATTCAACAACTCAATCCTGTCTGACATTCTAGTGAGAAGTTGTGATCAGTGGGAACCACCAAGTCAGGCGTGAAGACAGATACTCACCGATAAGACTAGTTGGCGGTTGAGTTAAAATCACGAATTGATTGAAGTTGCAACTGATGGACCATTGGATTTCGTCTCAGTGGTCCAATGGTGTACAAGCTCGCTTTGTAGGCTGAAGGTCCTGTGCTCAGTCGTTGGTGTGGTATTGGATGCATACTGTTGATGAGTCCTAAACAAGGGCGAAACAGCTAGCCAGTACTCTCTGATTTTGCAGTGGTTCCTTAACTTAAGTCAATTCTTGATCGTAATTGAAACTATTCAATTCCCTGAAAACAAACATCTGAAAAATAATTTTATACACAGTTTTTAATCACTTTATTTCAAAACGTATGCGTCTTAAATAGCAGTTACGAATTACATTTAAAGCGGAAACTTGCAGTGACTATTGATGACTAAACGGAACTACCTAATTTTTTTTCTTTTTGTTCACTTTGTTATGTAGTAAGACAGGTTTACATACAGTATAGGCTTTTAAATGTAATTTATTCTTTGGCTATGTAGAAAAATGAACTCTGAGCCCTTAGTTTTATAGACCTGGATTCCCGAAACTACTCGTTGTAGAGTTAAAAACATTTTCCAAGTATTGATAACGATCATTGTATCTTTTCTCTTCTACACTTCTGACTGAATTCCTCTTCATTTCACACTATCCTATTTTATTAATAATAACGTGGAACTGCATACAGAACGTCCGATAATTCAGATGCATTCAAATTTTCGTCATCTATTAGCAATCTGATTTATCTACTCTGATTTCATTATCACTACATGGTGCCTATTAAATGATGACGTCTGACGCATATCTTGACTTCTCTCTGTGATATTATTTGGTAGATGTTAGCTGCTTTGCTAGCAAAACGTTCGCAGAGTCCATTTTAGTTTTCTCAGGGTTATCTAACCTATTTAATCAAGTGTGAATTGGAACACGTTGACTTGCAGGGTATACTAGTATCTGTTTGCTTAGTGCATACCAGACTGTGACTGGTTTTGGCGTTTGAAGATCAGAATAGCGGAGTATTCTTTCCTCAAAGTATTTACTTAAACACTTTTACTTGAGAATATTGATGCTACTAGTAAGCGATGACTTCCTTCCGCTTCATTACGACATGCAAAGTAGCAGAAAATATTATTTCAACGATTTTATTGTGAAGTTAAAACGTAAAAAGAGATATAGATAATACAAACCAACAAACAAACAAAAAAGTTATTTGTAAAATGAGATCAGATACAGACTTAAAAATATTTTAAACTTTTAACAGTGTTTGCGAACGATACAAAGGTCCAATTGTCGAAGGTATACTAGTGAAAGTCGGAGGCGGTAACTTTCCAAGGACATATTGTTTTGGATAAACTTCTATGTAATTGTTAGTTCGAATAACACAAAATACAACCAAAGAAAACAGGAATAAAGGTACACCGACGATAGCTACCAGAATCCCTGCTATCCAAACATCTTCACGTACTCTGGCTATTCCAACAGAAATCATTAAACAACTTAATATGCACAGGATCATTCCAGCAGCCAACATTGGAATATCTATTTTAGTTTTTCTATATAAATCTATTTCACACATTCTACAAAAACCTTTTCTTAATAATGTTAGCTGGTCCTAGTGGAATATAAAAAAACAGTTCTTGTTAAGAGATTACAGGCAATAATATTGATAAAATTTTAGAAAAAGGAAAGGTGGAATTAGATTTTCACACACAGTAAATTCACCAAGCGGCCAGTAGTATATTCATTTAATTATTCTCCGTTTGTGATCACAACTGATTATCTACAAAAGAGAGATGAAAGAGTTAATATAATTCCAAAAAACTTAAAAAACTTCATAATCTAAGTAATCGTGAGTTGATTCTTATATGCTGATGCACATAAGAGTAAAAATTGAGATAGTACATATATGAATGTCTTCCAGAGGAAATTCGAGACGATAATCGATCGATTATTAAAACCACACGTAGAGTGACGCGTAAAATCTGAAAACACAGGAATTTTTTAGAATACGGTACTATATTAAATATTAAAATATGAAATATAATGTACAAACCTTAATCGGGAGGTGTTTGTGACTGAATGTCGTCAAAATGCATGGTCAATGTGGATCAATAAGTAAAAATAGTAGAGCTGTGTCAAAGGCGATCCAAGTGTTCTTCAAAAAGCAAGTGATTACCAGACACAGAATAAAGGGATAAGGATAAACAGTGTTCAACAGTGGATGGTACACGAATAAAGCATATACAGCCAATAATGTTCGACTATGAGAAAATGATTATTATCAATCTAATAGGTTAGTAAAACATCGAATGAAATGAACTTCAACAGTGTTATGATTTCATGACCTTTCTTATGATTTTATTACCTTAGGTTTAAATAGTGCTTTTCTAACTTGCTATCGTATTTACAAAATCCTGTTCATTCCACTTCATTATATTCATTATTATTATTTGACAATCATTCACCAATAGTACATTTAATTTTAATTTTACACCATATCATCGTTATTATTTTACAATCATTCTTATTGTTGTTATTTTCAACCTTGAACTTAAGTCTAGACCGCCCCATTCGTTGGTTTATTTTCATATTGCCTCACACACCCTGATTACACTCACTCTTGAAACCTGTATTTTCTGTTAACTATATTTATATATATCTTAAGAATTAACAAATACAACTTACACTACTAACAGGAGATAAGTAGTATAAATGTAAACACAAAAGAACGAATGACAAGAGGGAAATGGGAAAAGAATTAACAGTATGACTGTGCTAAACAGCCTTCATAAATGGTAGATAAAACTGCTCATTCATGAAATTGCAAATATAGTGGCTATATAAATCCAGTGGTAAGTTCTTTGTCCTTTACTACAAATTAAATCCAATCATAATGGTTCTTGTTCGATTGAATTTTAGATTTTCCCGTCGATTGATTAGACCGAAGCTCTCGGTCTCAGGTTGACATGTCGGTTTCGGTGGGAAAATCATCACTCACTGGGAAATGCAGGCACATCCAGATGACGGGTCCCAAATAGGACGAAATGCGCATCCTGGATTCTACTGCTATTCATCATCCACCAATTAAATTATAACGATTCTTAGTTGGAAAACAAACAAATTCCGAATCAGTAATGAGAATGCTGAGAAACTATCAACTATTTGGTAAAGGTTTGGTTCGAAAATGGAAGGGAAGAAAATAAAATGAACAGATGTACTCTAGACTTTTTTGTATACTACCATTTCTCACACTATGGAGAGATGTTTATAGTTAACAAAGGTTCTACTTAATTCCTGATAATATGGACTGATATTCACAGGGACAAAACAAGAACATATCTGTAAAAAAAAATATGTGAGTATCCTTCTGATTGACAAAAATGCAACAGGGTTTTACAATCAGGTCATTCTAGTTTAAAAAGTAGGTGTAGTCCCATATGGAAAGAAACACGCATTCTAGATTCTACTAGCTAAAAAACAGCAAAAGTTGGAGGCAGAGACATCATCGAAGCATCCTTTCATGCACTCACACAAACTGATAATGCCAAGTCGGTAAAACGAATGTAACAAATTATTCACAAGTTTCGATAAGTTCCATTGAGGTATTTATTTAAAAACTCCATATTCTTTTCCAGAAGCATATATATATATATATATATATATGCATACACGCCTGCAATACTGAAGATGCTGTGCAGTTGAGGTGCAACTAGACCTAAATACAAGAAGTTTTGTTAAAGTTTGTAGGGTTCGAGTGGTTTATAACATATATAGACCTTGAAACCTTATGGGTGATGCAAGTATCTATGGTCGTCTTGATTTTTACTTGGTTCCCCCTTTAAGTTATATCTTGTGAAAATCAAGCACCAAGTTACTAGTGGGTTTACACTCGTAAGATAAATAACGTCAAGTAAGCTTTATTGACAATGTTTGATTCATACTAACAGTGCATTAAACCTACTGTAGATTAATGAAAAAGTTACTCCATCGGCCAACTTGCGCATTTTAGTTACTGATGAAAAACGAGGCGAACTATTTAGATATCGTGTTTACTTAAAACATAAACTTTCACATTCAGTGTTTCATTGTTTTCTTAGTTTAACCTACTGGTGGATCAACAACCTGAGTCGATGACATACATATAAATGCAGCCATACACTCATATATTCTATGATTAGTCTTCATACTAACATATTGACACAAATCATCTGTCCTTTAAACTTTACAAAAAAAATAATAAATAAATCTGAAGAGTTTTTCGTATTCCTTGGATCATTTTATCAGTTCCTTTCGTTGATAACTAAGTGGTAAAGTTTCTGGCTTATATTATTCTTACTGATACAGTGAATCATGTAGACGGTAGTAAGATTTACCTGTTCAAATTCTCTACTAGAGGGAAATGATATAACAAAAATCTCTATCTAAACATCTAGAAAAGAAATATTTATTTTTCAAATTACTCCTAGTGGTTGGTTCAATACTAACATGATATACAACATTTTGAATATAATACGATTTGCAGATTTAATTATCATGAACTTGTTAACCTTATTATTACATTATTATTATTATTGTTTCCTTTAGTTCCTAGAGGAACACAGGGCTTCAGCCACACGTCTCCATTGCGTTCGGTTCTCCACCAACATTTTCACTTGGCTCCAAGTCTCCCTACATGCTTTCATCTCCTCTTCACATCACCTCCCCCATGTCACCCTCACACTGACAACCAACTCGCCGCCTCCCATTCGGGTTCTACTCCAGTGATGGTCTGGTTTGTGATGTCGCTCACTTGATCGTTTGTTTCCTCAGAGTATGGCCAATCCACCTCCATTTCTTCTTGAATATTTTCTGTACAATCCGCTCCTGCTGGTTTGGTTCGCTACCAAAGATCTCTGTTGCTGATCTTTACTGACCGGCCATTTAATCCTGAGCAGTATTGAGCGAAGACAACTGTTGATGAAGGTCTGTAGTTTGTTTGAGGTGCTTTTCATGGCACCCCAAGTCTCTGATCCGCATTGTAAGTAGCACTGACTTCACAATGGAGTTGAAAATCCGCCTCTTATTTTGCATGCTGAGTGTTGATGGTCTCTCTCCACACAGACTTGAGATTAATGAAAGCTTGTCTTGCTTTTCCCATCTTCGCTGCTTTGATATCCTCGTCATTTCTGTCCGCCTGCAGTTCAAACGATGCTTCCCAGTTAGGTAGGCAAGGAAAGTTGCTTCCTTCAGATTTCTCCCATTTATGCTGATTGTTGTCTGTTGTTATTGCTTTTGCTGTTGGTCAGGAATCTTCATCACCTCTTCCTTTTCTATGTTCACCTGAAGGCCTATCTTTGATGATTCTTCTGCCGACTTATTGCTTTTCACTTGCATATCTTCCAGTTTGTGAGAAATCATGCACATATCATCAGCGAGGTCCAGATCCTCCAAGTTTTCTGTGTGGGTTCATTTTATGCCTGTTTCCTCGTTTCCTACCGCTGTCTGTCGCATTATCTAGTCTACTGACCACAATCAGGAAAATCATTGGAGATAGTAGGCAACCAGTCAGCCTTGCCTTAGTCCCGTCTTCACTTCGAAGGCTTCCGTAAGTTTCCCGTTGTGGATTACTCGGCACGGAGCATTACCGTACAACTGTTGGATAAGGTGTATAATTGTTGGTGGCAACCCGAAGTGGTGAATTATTCGCCAAATTACCTCTCGATCGACGCTGTCGAATGCCTTTTCAAAGTCGACGAATTTGAGATAGAGAGCTGACTCCCATTCTAAGCTCTGTTCAATGATGATCCGTAGTTTTAACAATCATTCATCAATTTCAGGTAAACGATAAATAACAAAAACTGTAAGGGTGAAAATTAGAGGATATAAATAATTATACCCTAAAACCATGCAAATGACTCCAAGTGGTTGCACATTACGCGGTATATGTGACGTGAAATAAGAATGAAGGAGTAATCAGTTTATTAAAACTAACTAAATGAGAACCTTTAAACGTGAAGAAGACCAGTTTCACGTGACGATGATTAGTGAAGTTTTAACACTGTGTTCAGAGAATTACATACAAAGTCAATCATAACTCAACCGATAATGTCCCGGGGAAATAATTACAAATCACCTAACTTTACCCCTGCATGTATTTCTTCCAGTATGAATGCTCATATGGGGATGGCTACATCGATAGAGTAATTAGGCATATTCCAAGTCAAATTTTAGAACGTCCTGCGTTGTTACACTCAGGATAAATAAAGCTTATTCATAGGTGTCTTTTGGCACATCTTTTTGATTGTGAATACAATATGGACATTAACAAAGCCTTTGTTCCATTCCTTCTAATATTAATTTTACTTTACAAGTCTGTCTTTCAACATATCTGAAGTTGAACGAAACATTCCCATATTGAGTCATAAGAAAAAGGGACAGAAACAGCGAAGAAAATTTTCGGCCGTACGCAACGTCAAGTCCACAAACGTATTCTGGAACACTGTCCAGCTTAATTAGCCAGAGGAGAAAAGAAGAATAGCAGCAGCTCTATCCTCGAACACTTTGTTATCTCCGGACATCGAGAAACCCCACATGAATGCTTCACAGTGATACACAGAGTGCCTCAATATCGTACAAAGGGACTTCGGATACGTCATCTGTACATAGTTGAAGCATTAGCTATTCGGCATCTGAAACCGGACCTCTGCACTCAAAAGCGATACATACATTCTCTTGCCCTACTATGGCCAGAGTAAAGTTCTTACTACAATTTTACTTCTTCTATTATGTAAGTTCACTATTATTTATTATTATTATTAACACTTTTATTATCATTATTATTTCCATCATCCACATTTTATTAGCACTCTATTACTGTTTATTACTAACATCGCTTTTTCATACATATTTTATACAAAAACACTTTATAGCCTTTCCACTAGTTCCTGTCCACTCTACACGAGCTTATTGACTAGTCATTATCTCACGCTTATTGCGTCATGCCAACTTCCGTCTCCTTTTTAACGTGCAATTAGTCATCCCTTCTTACACCTTAAATTATGTAATACAATTTTCCAAGGACAAAGTTTACCAGTATTTGATTGGTCTAAATATTTCTTTGTTAAATAAAATTACGATTGTACAGCAGCTGGTGAAAATGAATCGTCGAAAAGAAAATTTTCTTCGCTGTTGGTGCCTTTTTCTTATATCTGAAATTATCCGAATCCACACTAGTAAGTCGAACCTGTGTGTTCAGAAAAAATCCGTACAATCA